GTAAAAGAATATCACCAAGAGCTTGTAACACTCCAAAGAGAAAGGAAAAATTGAAATCGCATCATATGACCCCTTTAAGAACCCTTTAAGAAAAGACTTGGGCTGCTCTGAAACAATCACAGAATATGGGAGAGGTTGTGGTTTGAAGCCATATACATGCTAAAATTAATAATTAACTAAAACCTGGACGCAAGTGTATTCTTTCTGCTGTTTCATATGTTTTTCATATTTGATCAATTCTCATTTTCTACAGAAATTTCTAACATTTTAAAAAACATTAAATAATAGATCGAATTAGTACAGAATCTTGTTCATCACACATCGTTGCCCATCGGTATAGTGAAACACCAATGCTTAGCAAAGTGCTGTGAATAAAATACAATTTATTGGAATAAAACCAAATGTGCCATTTTCCCCAATGCGCCTTCAGGATGTAAGGTCTAGTTCCAAAGATGATGAAGATGTTTATAAAAACGTATAAAACAACACAGTTTATTAAAGGAAAACATAAGGCAATCCAGTAAGCCAACAGTGTGCATAGCACAAATAATACCGGACAAAAGAGGAGTGAACAAAGAGGAACTTAAATACACAGTGACAAGGAACTAAAGGCTGAACAGGCATGCTGATTAATAAATGTTCATGGTGACTGATGAGTGGCAGGAAACTAGAAGCAGGAAGGTGATATGAAACAAACTAAAAGTCCATAAACTAAAAAGTGATAATGAAACTAAAAGAACATAATGGTGACACAGGTCAATTAATTAATTGCATTAATCACCTCTAAAAAATGAAAACTCATTCAAGTCTGTATATCACTGAAATTAGCTCATCATTTGGCAATCAAATAGTTTTTCTTCAAATATATATCGTCTATGGAACCAGAATACTTAAAGGGATAGTTTAATATACGTCATCCGCTGGACGCCACTCTCTCGTGAACGCGCGTACGACAGTTAGCGGAAGTTAGAGATTAAGGTTTATAAAGTTGTAAATATGGATATTTTTCTTACACAAACACATCGTTTCGCTTCGGGAGGCCTTTATTAATCCCCCGGAGCCATGTGGACTTCTTTTATAATGGATTGGTTCAATTTTTTGGACTTCAAATTTTGGGCTACCATCCACTCCCATTATAAAGCTTGGAAGAGCCAGGATGTTTTTTAATATAACTCCGATTGTATTCTTCTGAAAGAAGAATGTCACATGCACCTAGAATGGCTTGAAGGTGAGTAAATTATGGGGTAATTTTCATTGTTGGGTTAACTAATCCTTTGGTAACACTTTATTTCGATAGTCCACTTTAGACATTCTATGCATTTGGTAAAACTTTATTTCGATAGTCCTCTTTAGACATTCTATTAACAGCAAGTAACTTTGCAACTACATGTCAACTAGCAGTTAGTAGAGTATTAATAGACTGTCTGCTTAATATCTTCTAAAACTTTCTCTGTCAACTTATTCTACTAACCCTAAACCTACCCTAATAGTCTATTCTGAGAGTTAGTAGACATGTAGTTGCAAATTAATGAGAATTAGTTGACATGTAGTTGACATGTAGTTACAAAGTTACTTATAGTTAGTAGAATGTCTAAAGTGGACTATCGAAATAAAGTGTAACCAACCCTTTAAGAGCAATTGTAATCACTAAATTATTTATGATTCCCATCTCTAGTCGCAAGTATTTTTTATCCTAAGGAATGTGTTGCGGACCACAAAACATTAAGAACCTCTGATCTGCACTCTGCCTGCCATGTTACCTTTCTCTCCACTTTCGATTCTCACCACAGTTCCAAACTACTTCATCTTCCAGAGACAGAGAAAATGAAGAGAAAAGTAGTGGAGACCCTTAAATGTGCAAGAGATCTACAGATGGCAGCCCTGAGGCAGACGCTGGGGCCCAGGGGACGTACCTCCACTGGCCTTGAACATCCATGCAGCTTTAATGCACTCATTAAAAAGAGCTCTGCGAGGCTCCACCAGCACAACATAACTGACAGTTCTCTCCACACGAAAACACCACACTGACCCCACCACCGCACAAACATACGTATGCTTCAAAAAACTCCCAATAAGCAGGGGCCGACATGGTCAATACATCAAAAGAGGTCTGGAATAGTGTAAAAGAGGGCGTTTACTGGAGGAGGAAAGAGGCTTTATATCTCACCAAGCGGAATAGATCAACTCGCCCCTCTGGAAC